TGCCGAACGCTGCCCATCCCATTCTTACTCGTCTCGATATTTCGGCTGTTTGATTTTCTCTATTAGCTCTGATTGCTTGTCCTAGATAGATATACTCATTTACCTGTTCTATTTTTTCTGTTTTTATTTTTATTGCCTCTTGGTCTTCCGTGTTTGTCATTATTTTTGTTTTGTTGAAGTTAATTTTTAGGCCTTTTTGCAGTGATTTGTCATGAAGTTCATTCAGCATTAATTCCAGTTCTTGTCGTTCCGAGGAGATCAGGAGTATGTCATCCGCATATCTAAGGTGATTTAGGTATTTTCCGTTAATACATATTCCTCTGTTTTCCCAATCTGTTGATTTTATTATGTCTTCGAGGGTCAAGGTAAACAGTTTAGGTGAAATTATATCGCCTTGTCGGACTCCTCATTTAACTTTTATATTATCCGTTATTAATTTGTCGTCCAGAATTACGGTCATGGTTGCGTTTTGGTAAATATCATGTATCAATTATCGGTATCTTGAATCTATTCTACTATTGACCAGAGCTTCTTCAACCGCCCAGTGTTCAATGCTGTCGAAAGCCTTTTTATAATCTACGAATGCTAAGTACAGCGGAAGGTTGTATTCATTGGTTTTCTCAATTAAGATTTTAAGCGTATGTAGATGGTCGATTGTGCTGTATCCTTTTCTGAATCCGGCCTGTTCCACTGGTTGGTAGTTATCAAGTTTATAGGTTAGTCGGTTGTTTATTATTCTTGTGAAGGTTTTATATAGTTGTGACAAAAAAGAAATAGGACGGTAGTTGTTTAGGTCTGTTCGGTCTCCTTTCTTATGTATTAAGATTGTGTTGGCATTTCTCCATTGGGTATTTTACCTTCAAACAGACATTTGTTGAACAGTATTTTTAGCATTTTTTTTATCGTGTCTCCTCCTTCTTTTAGCAGTTCCGCCAATATTTTGTCCTCACCGGCCGCTTTATTTCTTTTCATGTCGTTTATGGATTTTTCGATTTCATCTTCAGTTATTTCTGATAATACCTCTGAGCCAACATTTTGTAGGTCCCACATGGCAGAGAACAGCTCAAGATAGGGAAAGATGGAGAGAACTGGGGGAGACCTATATCCAACAATGGAAGGATGGAGAATAGGTTCGAAAAAAACATCGCCATAAAACATAAGTATACCCAGATATATTCTACTATTAGCCAAGATAACTCACCTTGTGAATAGCCTTCCTTAATTTAAAAAACTCTTAAAACTAGGTGCACCTGTTAAGCTTCGAACAACACACGCCGTAACAACTAGATAATATTAACTAAGAGAGATGATAGCTAGACCAAATATATAACAATGCTGCCAAATTTGAATACAAATAAATTAATTTTCTTATAGTTTTTGAAAATCTTAATATTTCGGGTTTTTGTGAAAGTGGCCAATCACTAGAGACCGGCCAACAACTGTCCCGTTACCCTACGTACTATAACAATGCAACTGGCGATTTGGTTATTTTATTCACCGGTTTTAATAACCCGTTAAAAAATAAGCCGATCGTCAGTGATGCATCTCTAGAGAACAGCAAAATAACTTTCTTGCGTTCTGCTCGAGTAGTCGATAAAATTGATACACGAGTACAGAACATAACGAAATAATAATTTATGCATATTAGAACGTTCACAGATACGATTATAAGAAAATTCATTTTACTCTTTAAGGGAGCAAACGCAAACGGAATTAGACCGTCTCGAGACACAAAAAGAATTTATAATAATATATACGCGCACAAACTATTATATAAATAATTTATTTTGTATGTAAAATACTTTAGTTTAATTCTCCAGTTTTTGTCCAATTATTCATTTTATTCACTGAGATCTTCGGCTTCTTGAATTTTTCCAACTGATAGAATAGCCTGATCGTCAACAACAGTCGCTATCATATCTTATTTAAGGCCTGGAATACAATTAATAGGTAGTGTAGTGGTCCCAGTACAGTACCTTGCGGTACCCCTGCTTTGAGTTCATTCAGTCCAGAATAGGCCTTCTCCTGCTTGACTCTGAAGAATTCCTTAAGGCTTATCCTCGAAAATTGTAACGGTAAAATTCAGAGGGATATCTATTTCAAAAATATCTTTCTTTACGAAAACAAAATCCATTCACGAAGAATATGCTAAACGTCATCTTGTACTAGAGGTTAGCTTTATACCTACCTTACACAACCCCCTATTGTGAAAAGTCTTGGGTCTATACAATAAAGCGGGCGGCCGTCTGTTTAGTGCGGTTTTGGGGTAATTAGAATAATACGAGTATACCAGAGTAATATTATTTATTGAATAATTAATTCACAACTTAGCAAGGGTACGTACAGGTAACAAATAATTGTCCTGTAAATCATAACAATCAAATCGAAGACAAACTTTTATAAAATTTTATTACAAAATAATGTGTAACAAGATATTTTGAGCTCAAAGTATTTATTTTTTATGTCTTATATTTTCTTGTGTTCCTTTTTTTACTGACAAATTGGGTTTTTAACGTAGATTAGGTACGGTTTGATGATAAATATTCTGAATGGAAAATGTTGAGATGTGGCGAATAAAAACATTCATGAAAATGAAATGAAATGATTTACGTCTACTAGTAGTGCGATTTATAAAATTAGTACTTGAAGCCCAAATCGCGGGAGGAATATGTGCATCAGTTTTCAGATATTTATTATTTACTATATAATTTCTAAATTGAACTTCACTTCTTTAGGTAACAATGTATCTGTTTTGACAACTAAATAGGCAATTAGACAAAATAATGAGTATTATTAATTTCAAAACAGGAGTTTAAAGAATTATAAGGAGGTAGTCCGGGCCCAGTTGAACGGTCAAGTTTATTCCAGTGGAAGCAATAAGGAGGATTATTTTTCGTTTTGGCTCAGCTGACATGCTTTTTCTAGCACTACAACCCATGAAACTGTGGTAAAAAGCATGCTTTATTTATACGGTTGTGAAACACGACGATTAACAGAGACATCGACGAAAGATATCTCGTCGAACTGGATGCAATACAGTATGAGAATAGAAGGTACAGTCATGGATGGCATACAACGAAAGCAGCTCAAATGGTACGTACAGGTCCAATGAATGAAAGACAGTAGACTCCTGAAACAAGTACCTGTATGAACACCTACAGGATTTCAGAAGAGAGAAAATACGGATGGAAGGAATAAGAAACTTAATGACCTCGAAAGAACTTAAAGAACAATGGAACAACCGAATTGAATAAAAAATGGATGTCGGAAGACGTTTTATAGGGATTATATCATATTATAGGTACATTTTTTGGACTAAAAATAAATTTGAAGAAAACCAAGTTCATGATATTTATAAAAGCACAAAGCATCAAAGTGAAACTAGTACTAGATAATACAGAAATTGAACAAATATCTTCGTACAAATACCTTGGAGCATGGATCACAGAAGATACTGATTAGACAAAAGAGATAAGATGCCTCATTGGAATTGCACGGTCATCTTTTAATAGAATGAGAAAATTTTTTGTAATCGCGATATCAATATATCGCTCCGGATAAGAACGCTTCGATGTTATATTTTCTTTACCCTTTTGTATGGGATTGAAGCTTGGCTACTTAAAAAATTCAACATCAACATCGGCATTTTGAAGCTAAAAATATTTAGCTTATTAATGGAGTGCAAAAAATCTAAAGAATCGAGTTTTTTGCATTAAATTATTAATCATTAAAAAACGGCTCCGAAATTTATGCGGGAAACAGGTAAGTTTTCTTCTTATAGAAGAAGTTGTATTATAGGTAAAAGTTGTCAGCTACCTGGATTATTGAGTGTCACGAGAAAGTCCTTATTACCCTGGACTAATATGACTGGACAAACAAGTGAAGAAACAAACTTCATATATTATGTAAACTTTACTAACAAAAACGTTCAAAATAAATATTCCATTAAATATAAATAATCAAATTCCATATTCAAATACTGCAAAAGATTTGAGTATTCCTCTAAGCTTATGCAAAGAAGAAAAGAAAATAATAATTCTGATTGAAATACAAAAAAATGTACTGGCTGATTGACCAAAATTCAACGCTGTTTCTACATAATAAATTATTAATATATAAGCAAATAGTGAAACAATAGTATTATTATAATAACAGTATAAACATTTAGAAGGAAAATGTCACAAATCAACAGAAAATATTTCTATTCATATAAAATTTTAATCAAATTATAGGTACTTACTGCTTATTTATATAAAATTTCCTCAATCGGAACAAAAACGTTTTCGTGAACTACCCATTTTAAAAACAATTAACACACTGGTTTGTCAAAAGTCGGAATAAACCCTAATAATGTTATTCAACATTATTTATGATCCACCCTCGAGAGCGTATTATACTTCTTACCTAACCAACCTAACCGTCGGCGAGAATCCAGAAACTATCGACAAGGACAGCCTGTACTGACCGAGAGATAGAGAGTTATATTTAGCAAAATTTTAGATTTTTAAAAAAGTTTATACCAAATAGCTGCTTTGTGTTACACTTTATGTTAAAAATAAAAACAGATTCGCAAAGTGGGTTAAATTCTGTAGTGCCCTATTAAAAAAAAAATTTTACGTTTATTTTAACCAAAAATATTTGAAAAAAAAATATTGTTTAAACAATTTATTAATTTACAACCAAATAGTGCACTAGAACTTTTTAAGACCTTCCATATAAAAAAAGAATCATTCCAATATCTGCCATAGTTTTTGCGTTATTTGATATAAACTTTTACATTGGAATTTAGCTATGCCTAGAATCCCGAGGAACAGCCTTAAGATGTAAGGAATACTCCATGTGTATTTATACATTATATTTATCTCTAAAAAACGTGTTCGTGATTTTTAATTTATTCTTGGTAGGGAAGTTTTTTAATTTACCACCGTTGGCTGAATTTAATGCAATAGCCTTAGTAAAATAAATTATACTCACTTTTATTATTTTTTTTTTATTTCCAGCTACACAAAACACACAGTCTCAACAGTCTCTGCCGCCAGTTTCGTACGTAAAAGCTATAGATGTATGGATGTCGAGTTGCTCCGTTTTTGTATTTATGTCCCTAATGGAATTTGCTGTTGTTAATAACTACATGGGACCCGTAGCAACAAAAGCAATGAAAGGCTACTCCGATGAAGATATTACTTCAGAATTAAATGACTACAAGGTATCTATGCAATCTGTATTAATTTTTATATCCTACTAATTTTTTAAAAACATGACTTCCTTTAGACCAGAGTTTCCCAAACTTATCTAAACCGCGACCCCTTTTTGCTAAAAAATTTGTTCGCGACCCCCCAATTATTTATTCAATATTATTTGACAGAAATAGCGTGCCTAATTTACAATTATCTGATGGTTTCTCAAATTTAATTTTACTTTACTGTTTAAGTTTAAATCAAAAAACAATTATTTTATTTTAATACAATTATTTTAATGATTGCGATCTGTCCCACTAGTAATTAGTAGTAGGTACTTCTGCCAGATTAGCATTTACAATAAAAATAAATAATAAGAAGTCGACTGCACATTGTACACCTCGATATATTAGCTTGTGTCTACATCGCAAAACTCTTCCATGATAATCGCGAAAGCGCTCGCTACTAGATGGCACTCTGGAACGTTCTCGTAGCCTCGTTTTGGCTTTATATAAGCGGCGATGCGCAACGAAACCTCAGTTCGAATCCAAACAGCCTATGGTGGCGAACGCGGTGTTGAGAAATGAGTAAATATTTTACGACTTACGTATTCTCGTTTACGTATTTACGTATACGATAAATTATAAATTATGGATAAGTTTTTAAAAAGAAGTGCAGAACCATCTACGTCTGAAAGTGGCAGTAGCAGCAATAAAAAGAAAAACAGATTCTACATTGATGATTATCTTAAATATGGTTTTACCGTTATTTCCAATAAACCACAATGTGTTATTTGTGGACAAGTCTTGTCAAAAGAAAGCATAAAGCCACCAAAGTTACTTCGACGTTTAAATAGCAAACATCCAGATAAAAAAGACAAGCCCGTAGAATTCTTTGAAAGAAAGCTGAACGTCCTTCACAAACAGCAAGATAGTTTTCCCTTGGCAACCACTACTAATGAAAAAGCATTATTAGAAAGTTATAAAGTTGCTTATCGTGTTGCCAAATGGTACATATAATGTGTAGGGAAAGAGAGGCTGCAAAATTAAATACAATACCTCTGTCAAATAATACTATCCAAAGAAGAATTAGTGATATGGCAGAAGATATTCAAGCGCAAGTTGTGGAAAATCTTAATAAATGCACGCATACTTCTCACTTCAAATGAACGCATCCACAGATATATCTAACTGTGCCCAATTCATTACGTTTGTAAGATATAATACAAATAATGGCATTCAAGAAAATATTTTATTTTGTTCCCCATTGGAGACCAATACCACTGGAAAATGTTTACTCGACACTTTTGTGAAACGTACAAGTAAATATGATATTGACTGGTAAATGTATTACTATATGCACAGATGGCGCTAAAGCTATGACATAAATTTTGTCTTGTCAAATTACAAGAAATAATGCCTAATGCCAAATGGAGACATTGTTATTTACATCGAGAAGCTCTTGCGTCCAAAGCTTTACCTCCTAAAATGGACTGTGTTATGAAAACCATCATTAAAGTTTTAAATTCCATTAAAGGAGAAGCTTTGCAGACCCGTATTTTTAGAAAAATTTGCGAAGACATTGGTGCTTTATTTGAAAGTCTTCTCTATCACACCGAAGTAAGGTGGCTTTCAAGGAGCAACGTCTCAAAAAGAGTATTTCACTTAAGAGCAGAGCTTTTAACGTATTTGAAAGATGAGAAGTCCCCATATGAAAATCAATTTTCCGATCCTATTTGGCTTCTGAAACTAGGTTTCCTTGCTGATATTTTCGAGCAATTAAATATTTTGAACAGTAATTTACAAGATCGCGACATTAATATAATTACAGCCACAGATAAAATTAAGGCGTTTCTAAGAAAAATCGCATGTTACATGCATGTTACTTTGCTCAATTTAAAACAACAGCCCTGTGATTATTTCCCCGAAGAAATTCAAAACAGTTACGACAGTTGCAGATGGATACTAAATCCGTTTTTAGCCGATTCCTTTCAGCATGTTGAAATACCAATAAACATGAAAGAAAAACTTATTGAAATATCAACTGATGGAATGTTGAAGCTCCAATTTTTTTCCAAGAACTCGGACCAATTTTGGACCGAAAAGGTGCAGGAATACCCCCAGTTGGCGAGTGAAGTTGTAAAATGTTTGGTTCCATTTGTAACATCATATTTGTGTAAGTTAAGTTTCTCGTCTATGACTGCCATTAAAACAAGAGTTAGAAATCGTCTCGTACTTGAAAATGAAATAATTGTGTGTGTCTCAAATACACAGATTTGAAACATGCCTAGATACATGCCTAGATTTGAAAGATTAGTTTCACAGAAACAGGCGCATAGCTCTCATTAAGATTATAATATTTGACTTTGTTTTACTCTTTTATTTTTACGGACTTTAATATTTAGTTTTATATTTCGTCTGATAATTAATTGTTAATTTCTATTTACGGCGTTGTTAAAATAAAAATACATGAACTAACAAAGTGGTGCTTTTGTCTTATTTTGGAAATGTTCGGCGACCCCCCTAGTACCTCATGGCGACCCCCACTTTGGAAAACACTGCTTTAAACAAATCCATAAAATAAGACAATAGTGAAATTCATATGGCCTGGGAAAAATATATTTAAACCAAATATTGCTAGTACCAATCGACTATACCAAATCTAACTTACTTCAGTATTTCTTTAGATCCATTTATTCTTGTATCAGAAGAATGCTATCAATAATTAAAAAAAAAGAAGCTGGGGGAAGATAACATTAATAATGAGATGTTAAAATTAATGAAACCCGAACATCTATTCTCCATTCAAGAATATACCAAAAATGTGAAGAGGTCAGTGGTAAAACCCAATGTGGTTTTAAAAATGCAACGGGGACGAGAGAACCAATATTTATGGACATAAGATTTATAGACGATCAAAAAGATTTTGATAGTAATACCAAACAAAAAAAATGGTATACACATTCAAGAAAATTGGATTCGATACTTGGAATTAATCGCCAAAACTCACTGCCATCTCAAGAAACGTAAATACCATGAGGTATACCTAGGGCTGTATTTTATCTTTTCTTTTACTCAATGTTTACGAAGGGGAGATATTCCAGATAGCGATTCAATATCAAGCAAAAAGGACAAACAAATATACATATATAAGAAATATACTAATCACAATGTCAGTAAAGGCGGTAGTATGCCACCAAAATTGTTCACGAACATCCCAAAACATATTTTAACACACTTCACTGCAATACCCTTATAATAAACATCGATGAACAGAGACTGGATCATTTAGGATTTGCTGTTCTTTTAGCAGATAACTTGGTGGACAGTGAAAATATTGTTAAAGAACTTCCAACAGCGGATCAAAGAGTATGTTTGGAAATAACCTACAGTACAATCAAAATGGGTACAAACTTGACATCTAGCGAAGGCAGGAAAGTAGCTTTATTAAAATAGAGATCTTTGTTTTGATTTCTAGCTTCTTAGAAGCAAAGGTCCTCTTTTTTATTATCTTGAAACTGTGAAAACTATATGTTCTATGCCGATCATACTGCAGACAATGAGTTATTGTACATATTCTATAAACTGTTATACAATTCCTCGGGAAGACCCTATAAGCCTTAAATCAAGAGCTTTTGTAATAAAGCAACATCAAACTTTCTCATAACAACAATAAGTTCTGCAGATGCGTTACTGCGATGGAGATTCGTCTATAGGACGATTTAGACTTTCTTTTCTGAGCCACCTCATTTTGCCTTATTTAAATGTCACCTAAAAGCCACCCTGAATCATTACATACAGTTGCCTTAAATAATTTTCGGAAGAAATAATTGGTGAATACGAATGTGGTTTCAGACCACAGAGGTCAACTATAGACCAAATACATAAAATATTAAGAGGTATACATAAAAAATTTGCTGAATATAACTGATCAATTTACAACATTTTAAATTGATTTCAAGCAGGCGTTTGATGCATAGATAAACAACAATTTTTGAAACAACTTTCCATGTTCGGAATACCGAAAAAGTTAGTTAAACTTATACAAATAACTTTGGAGAATTCCAAAGCCATGGTGAGAATAGATGGAGATATGACAGAAAATTTGATATTGAAAATGGAGTTAAACAAGCTGGCAACTTGGTCAATAGTAGAATGACTTACTCTAAATTCAAATTTACATGATGGAAGTAGATTTCTTTCTTCAATTATTGGCTTCAGCCTTTTCAGGAGCATTTTATCACAGTAGGGAGTGATATAGGTCTGTCTGACGATGCCTCTTGAGGTGGTTTGTCAGGTTTAGGTATCATAATCACTTCCGCTGACTCCGATCACTACCTGGTCCAGGCTAAACTAAGGGCACGAATCTCTAACGCAAAAAAAGGTAAATGAAGTAAATAAGATAAATTCGAAGTGGACTGACTACGAAACCCTAAGGTAGTTAAAAAATTTGAACTCAAAATTAAAGAAAAACTAGAAGACCAAATGAGTAGTACTGTTGAAAGCATAGATAACTACTGGAATGAGTGCGAAAATATCCTGAACGAAGTAGCAACAACAGTTTTAGTAAAGAAGAAACAAGAAAGGAAGGAGACAGAATGGTATGATGCGGAATGTGCACAGGCAACTCAAAAAAAGAATCAGGCGTATGGGAAACTCCAAAACAGAAGGACAAGACAAAATCAAGAGCAGTACAAACAGATGAGACAAGCAGAGAAAAAGATACTAAAAAGAAAAACGACATCTAGAAAACCAGCTATAGGAACTAGAAAGGCTCAATTCACAAAGTGAAGCGCGAAAATTTGATAAAAATGCAAACCACAACAGAAAAGATTTTAATCCTAGAATAACCATAGGTTATTCACCAATCATTTTTGTTTTTATATACATTTACTAATATATTGTATGTTTTGTGTATGAGATAAGACTTTTATTTTTTTTCTAGGGTATGGACAGACCCAGATTCAGTTCAGTGAGCCAACCACAGTACGACACGTTCTGCGACGGGAAAAGTATCGCCATTTGTATAGACCAATTTTCCAGGTTTTTTTTCCCGTTTTCTTTTTGTATTTTAAACGTTGTATATTGGTCGACTTTTCTTTGACCACCATTTTGCAGTGTATTATATATAGTAGCACAATTTTATTGTTGTCATTAAATATTTACGACGTAGTCTTACGACTCAGTTATTATAATCAACGTCGCGGCCCACAACTATATATTTTTTAAAAATATTAATGTTAAAATCGTGTTTATTGTTATATAGTCCACTTTAGCGAATGTATATATTAGGCAATATAAATAAATACTTTTGTATTATTTTGATTATTTCTTAATTCTCCTTTAAAATACTTACCTCACCATCATCATCATTATCATCATCAGCCGTTTTGAGTCCACTGCTGAACATAGGGCTCTCGTAAATAATTCCAATGCATTATATCTTGAGCACCCTGAATCCAGTTGTGCTGAATGCGCTTGATGTCATCTGACCACTTGTTGGAGGACGTCCTCGATTACGATAAACATCATGTCTAGGTCTCCATTCCAGAATTTTCTTTGTCCACCTTCCATCTCTTAATCTGGCAACATGCTCCGCTTAGTTCCATTTCAATGTTGTAATCCTTTGAACTGCGTCAATAACACCAGTTTTTCTCTTAACTATTGTATACGATACTTTGTCTCTGAGGGATATATTCAGCATTGACCTCTCTCTCGTTCTCTGTGCCACTTGTATTTTATTGATTACTTTTCTGGTAAGAATCAATGTTCCTGCTCGATACGAAGGGTACAGGCAAAGAAGGTGTTATGTCAATTTTCGCAGAAAATGAGTTTCTGGTCCCCTCTGTTAGCCAGTGATCTAGAACACCATTCTATAAATCAATCACCGCTATGAACGTGTTCAATCATGAATAATAACATATTTTAATTTCTCTAGTCAGGCTAAGAAGGTGGCAAGTCCGCGCGGACCCGGCCAAAAAAGTGCCTTGTTGTAACGAACTATTTTGCTTGCCTCAGGGTAAGAACATGGGGGAGAAGATTGGGCAAACAAACTAATCGAAACTAGTGCGTATGGCACTCAGAGGGTTGTTGGAGAGCTGGGTCGTTGATAAGTTGAAATAAAATTGGTCGGATTGGGGTATCTACAAAATGAAAACAAAGGGATACTTACATAAATCTCCTAGGCAATTAATACAACAAAAAAAGAAACTTCTAGCAATTTAAGATAAGGGTGCCGCTTCGAAGGATCCTAGTTTGCTGAAGGAAAAAAAATTCTTCTTGTCTTGAAGAAGCTGGCAGGCATGATCTACCCGATCTGCAATTACTATATCGTCTGCAAATCTCAAGTTGTTCAGAAACTCTCCATTTATATTGACTTCAATATTCTCTTAATTATTGTTTCTCATAGCATTCTGCAACAAAGCGGTGAATAGTTTAGGAGAGATGGTATCTCCTTGCCTAATACCACTCTCAAAGGGAAATGTATTTGTGTTGCCATAATGCATTCTAACTGCACCTGTTGCGCTATTATAAATATTCCAAAGAAGAATTGTGTACCTATGATCAATACTGCACTCTTTAAGAGCTCTTAACATGGAGCTATACTGGACTGAGTCAAACGCTTTCTCAAAGTCTACAAATATTCATATCAATGGCTTGTTGTATTCTGTAACTTTCTCTATTAAGGATTTTATTACTTGTAGGTGGTCATTCGTTCCAAAGCCACTTCTAAATCAGGCCTGCTCCAATAGTTGGTGAAAATCCAGCTTAGGTTCCAGTCTGTTAGTAATTAATTAAAAAAGACTGTATACCCAATAATAATTATATAAAAATGAATTTACTAGAAGATCTTGAAATCAGTAGAGAAATGAAAAGGAATCCTTAGAATTGTGTCAACACTCAAATTAACTTAAATTGTAAGTTTGATCCAATCTTTAAGAAGTTTCTTCAATAATACACTTAGTATAAAAAATTAACCATCATTTGATCAAGCTTTGACCCTTATTTTTAAAAAAGAGATTTAAAAGAGAGAATTTCTTATACTTTCTTTCATTGATTTCATCTACATAGAGAATGTTTGATATTTTCTTCTTCATTATTTATTTTATTAATAATATCGATAATCAATAATAGCTGTTGAACTCTTAACTTAGCAAATGATACTTCTCCTTGGTTGGTTTTCATCTACTTTCTTCTATTTGGTCAAACTTTAAAGTTTTGTTTTTTGATAATTTTGATAAATGTATATTTAAATTTTCACGTTAACTAATCAATTTAAAATATTTAAATTTAAAATTCTACAGTAGCTAAAATTAATAATCAATAACCTTCAGACGTCATTTTAGACATTTTCAATTTTTAATTAATAATTTAAATACAGAGGTCGCTCTAGGATTTATTTCCGTATATCCGAGCTTCCTATTTCATTTTCATTTTACTTCAAAAATGTAAGTCAAAGACAGCTGTTGTCGTTACTGTATGTGGTAACCATGTTTTTATAAAAACTTTTTAAATGTGAATTATACATATGTATAAGGGTTAGACCCAAGATCTGTGGCCTACAGAGCCCGATCTTTGAATTTTAATATGTCGTTTGTGCACAATATTCCTTCTATGAAGTATTTATTGCCTAATTGACGTAAGTTTTTTCTATCATTGTATTTTATATAAAAAATTTACTTAACTTAACGTTATTTTAGGATAGCTCTGATGATGACATTTATTATGTCGAAAGTATACTTAGCTTAATTATTAAATTATTTTACACACTATCAATTTTATTGAAAACATACAAAACCAGCTTACCAGTTAGACCTGTTAGTAATTATTCTCATAAAGAGCTTATATAAATGAGATAACAAGCTGATCGGTCTGTAGTTTCCAATTTCTGTTATATCTCCTTTTTTGTACAATATTATCATATTGGCACTATTCCATTTTTCTGGTGTAACTCCTTCGAAGAGGCAGGTATTATAAAGGGTTTTTAAAGCTTCTATGACGCATTCTAATTTTAGCATTTCACTTACAATGCCATCCTCTCCAGGTGATTTGCTTTTCTTCATACGGAAGTTCCTTTGATCCTTGATTTTGTTTGGCTGGGATTTTCACCTCTGGAATGTGAGCATCTCGACGATATAATGTTCTACAGTACTCTTCGATAATTTTGATAATTTCTTGTTGTTCATATACACTATGTCCTTGTCTATTTTTTAGCTTATAAATGTTCCTGGTTCCTGTCTTCAACTTTCGTTTTAGAACTTTAAGGCTTTTATTTTGTTCTATGGTATTAGTTGTTTCTTTAGTGTTAAAATCCCTAATGTCTTTCCGAATAGCTTTTGAAATGATGTTATTTAAATTCCTTGGCTCTGCGATGTTCACTGTGTGCTTATCTTTCATTTCCCTTCTTTTTTGCATTAGGTTCCTTATGCCTTATGTAAGTGTTTCATTTGTCCTTGTTCGCTTAACTTGACGGTTCTTCTGTGCCTTCCTTAGAGTGTCCACCAACCTTTCCTTACGTTGTTCAATATCGGTTTCATCTTGCACATTCTGAAGGTTTCTATCTATTTCTTCCTGTTATGCCTTTGTGTTAGTAATCGCAGTGAACGTAACATTTTTAGTCCTTGTTACCATATTTCTGTGTTCCTTGTTTACGTTCAAGACTACCTTCGCTCTAACCATTCTATGGTCACTTCCGGTTGAAAATTGATTTAATACAGTTACAACTTGAACAGCGTCTTTTTTGTTAGTAAAAATAAAGTCAATTTCGTTTTTGTTCAAGCCATTTGGTGATTGCCAAGTCCACTTTCTTTGGGGGCTTTTTTTAAATGGGTGTTCATGACATATAGTATGTGTTGCAGAAGAAATTCTATACGAGTTTGACCCCTTTCGTTTCTGTCGCCATATCCGTGAGGTCCAGTATAGCATATTTGGTCGCCAGTATAGCATATTTGGTGGTTACCTCTTCTAGCAAAGTGTTAACGTCATCGTAGAACCATTCAACTTCTTCGTCTGTGTGGGCACTGGTAGGTGCGTATACCTGAATGATCTTTAATCGAATTTTTTCGTTTACTTTGTAGATAAGATAAATAACTCTATCACTTATGTTTTTAATTGTAAGTATATTCTTCGTGTGTTTTTTATTTATCATAAATCCGACGCCACCATTAGAAAAGTTTCCTCCATAGTGAAATAGATTTCCCGACGAAAGTACAATTTGTTCTTTGCTTTTTCGCCGTACTTCAGATAATCCAAGTATTTCCCATTTTATATGCTTCAGCTCGTTTTCAAGTTCCTCAAGTTTTTCGTTTTCCATCAATGTTCTGGTGTTATATGTTGCCATAATCCATATTCTTTGCCCTTGTCGTTTGTCAGAACAGAATATGAAATTTTCAAAAATTCCTTTTTGCCAGCAAAACATCGTCATTGTTTTAGGTACAGTTTGAACGAAACACTGTTAGATGGCGTAACAGGTATTAAACGCAAAATAATATTAGGCCGTAAATGTAAATATTTCATGGCTACCATTACCCCAGCAGCCACCATTCCCCCCTTTCCCCTATCATCTGCATTTCACACATGCTAAATTCAAAGTACAACCAACTTGCTCCTGGGAGTGGGTTGACTGCGAATTAAGAGATTATTTCGGTTTACTAAAATAATTAGAGGGAGTCAACAAAAATTAGTTGAAGTCAGAAAAAATTAAGTGAAGTGACTGTATATGGCAGTTGTTTTTGTTGTTTATGGCAAAATCACTAGTATAAGGATAAAGCCATACGAAAAATTTATGATAAAATAAAAATAATACTTGAAAATTGTTGGACAAGTTATTAATTATTATACTTTTCAGTTTTTGTGATATATTTGTAATTATTAATAATCCCTTCGATGTCTTTATAACAAACGTTAAGTATTTTCATAGACTTTAATTATAGATAATGATTATCAAGTCTAATAAAACCTTATAAATTACCCAGGACAGAACTTACACAGTATCCGCATGCCTAGAGTGTAGCAAGACGTGGTGTGGTGCAAAATCAACAATAGAAACACTATGGTGGTGGTATATGGCAAAGAGCGCCGGCTACATTCGGTAGAAATCAATTG